TGTGTGTCTTTTTACTCTTACATGTATTGTGGTATCAAATACTCTTGGTTCAGGAAACTTTTAGAATCTTTGTTTTCCAAAAGTTAAAGGGCCCTATCCTGGTTCACTGTTGAAAATTTCTTGACACAAAGCAGCAGCTTGATTGGGGCCTGAAACATTCTCAAGGGACAGTGAGAGAGGACAGCAGCATGCGTGCCTTTACTTTGAACACGTCCTTGCTTGCTTTTGAGTGTTACACCATCCCTGTGAGAGTGAGAAATGTTCACCTTTTAGTAAACCCTGAGTAGGATAAAAAACATCAATAAATGCTACATTTAGTTCAGATTTTGACCTAAGGATGGGATCTTGATCCAAATTAGACTGAGATTATTCACAGTTAATTTTTATTTTATAAAGCCATTTGGGTCCAAGGCTTGTGTTCACTCACATTGTGGTAATTGGCATTCTCTACCTCTCTGGTTTCTAATATCCATTGCAATGCTGCACAAAACCGTCAGGCAATATCCAGGATGAAAGGATATATTAAGGGAGCTAACAGGTTCTAACGACAGACACTCCTAGGATACTTGTTTTTCGGACATGTTAAAAGTTCTTCCCTGTCTGCTAATAAATGCTCAAATGGGCATACCACTCTGCCCTTTCAACACAAGCTCTATGGGGCAGCAAACTGAGCTCCCTGAATTAGTGCCCAGAGTCACCCCACTCCAGTAAGCTTCAGCCTGACGGCACTTGGCTCCACTTCCATGGGTCAGCAAGCCCATCTTCCCCTATTAAGTGCCCAGAGGCATGCTATTCCATAAGCCAGCCTCCTGCATAAAAGCACTCAGCTTTATTTACTTGCTTCGAGGGTTGGGAATTTCACCACTCTGTTCCATGCTTGGGGTCCTGGCTCTGCTGCTCGTATAGCCGTCTTCTGGATCCAGCAGGTTCATTGCTCAGGGCTCTCCGGTCCAGAGGATGCGCTCCCCTCGCTCGTAATGACTCTTGCTGGCAATGAGGCCCCACCTGTTGCTTCTCAGAGGGCTCATTTACTATGCCGCAAAATGGCACTCCAGGGGATCCTGTTGGCAGTGATTCACAGGTGAATCCTGTCACTCTCTCCCAACCACCTTCTTACCAGACCCAGGCAGGAAAAGGTCCTTTGGTGGGAGTTAGAGACTTGGGGTAGAGGAGCCACAGTAAAATCATTCCCTGCCCCTGCTTCACTCTTTGGGAAACTTAGTTGTCCTAATTCAGGATTAGAGGTATGTTCCTAAAATCTTTTCCTGTCTTGTGTTCACATGAATTCCAGCAGAGTTAACCATGAGCTATTCCATAGGGTTTCCTGGGTTGTACTCTTCACTGAAGCATTTCACCTGGTCTTGCTCCTGTGGCGCCACTAGGCAGGTTTCACCTGCCAACCATCCAGTTAGCAGCCAACTTACTCAACCAATTCTCCAGATTTTTTTTGTAGTGGACCATGACATTGTAAGTGTCATAGACCCCAGGCCTACTTCGAGTCCCCAGGTAGCTGACCCAGAGATCCCCATGCCTTCTCCCTCACCAGCATGCCCATGCTTCCTGTCTTTCCTATGTTCCCTACATAGTCAGATCTCGGCCACAATTGCCAACATGTGATATGAACAACATGGAAATTTCACCAGTTACCTAATAAGATCTTAAAATGGGCTTGGCTGGAGTTTTTGAACTTTGAACTTTAAAACTTGCAGTCTCTGAGCAACTGGGTGTCCATACGTGTGGTAAATACCCTAAGGCTCGAGGACCCTTACTCTTGTCCTCTTGACTGGTGAAATTTCAGAATAAATAATTTTGTGATATCAAAATCCATCATATATCAATAATGTGCATGTGCATATAGCCTAGACAAGAGAGGAGCTGACAAGTTCAATTCTAGTGTAGCCCACCATTTTTGGAGACACA